TTACGTGAATATTGTATTATGTTGTGTATAATGTTTCCGTGTACGTTTTATGTTTGCAAAGCACAACGAGTATGTATGCGAATGTACGAGGCCTAACAGACATGTAGAAGGACAACTAAGGCCCGCTAAGCATGTAAGTTATTTCCAGGCCCAATAAGCATGCAAAAGCACATATAAGGCCCACTAAGCATGCGATGTATAGTCCAGGCCCAACAAGCATGTAAATGGACCACTAAGGCCCGATAAACATGTAATGTATAATCCAGGCCCAATAAGCATGTAAATGGATGACTAAGGCCCAATAAACATGTAATGTATAATCCAGACCCAATAAGCATGTAAACAGACCACTAAGGCCGAATAAACATGAAATGTATAATCCAGGCCCAATAAGCATGTAAATGGACCACTAAGGCCCAATAAACATGAAATGTAAGTATTAGGCCCAATAAACATGTAATCGATGTATTTAGTTCGTTTGTTATTACATTGTTTGTTTTAGCTCGATTGTTTTCCAAAATGACAGAAAAGGCCCACTTTTTTAATGTTGACATTTTTGGCCCATTAAAGCTTATGGAATGACATAAAAAACCCACTTTTTTAATGTTGAGATTTTTGGCCCATCCGGGAGTATGGATCAGATCAGGATTTAGGCCCCCAACTACAAATTATGCTTCGAATAATTCGCTTCATGAGGCTTCAGCTGCCTCGAAGCATAGGCTATCACGCGACCCCTCTACATCAACACTGCCCCCAATATGGTGATCGAAGCATCACAATAAACTACAAAATCATCAACACCCTTTGGCGGGTTCAAAATCGGCGCCTCATACAACTGTTGTCTCAAAGTCAGAAAAGTTTCCTGCTGCTCAGTCCCCCAGCTAAATGTAATCATCTTCATGGTCAATCGGGTCAAAGGAACAGTTATCTTGGAGAAATCATGGATGAATCTCCGATAATAACCAGCCAAACCAAGAAAACTCTGAATCTCAGATGGAGACCTCGGAACCTCCGACTGCATCACTACCTCGACCTTGGCCGGATCGACCAGAATACCCTTATGATTGATAAGGTTCCCTAGAAACGACACCTCACGCAACCATAACTCACACTTGGAGAACTTTGGGAAAAGTCTCTCCCACATTAACGTCTTCAGCACTTCCCTCAAGTGCTCCTTGTGCTGCTCCTAAGTCTTGGAATAAACCAAGATATCATCGATGAATGCAATCATAGACCGATCCAACATCAGTCTACACACACGGTTGATAAGATCCATGAATGTGGCTGGAGCATTGGTGATCCCAAAAGGCATCACCACGAACTCTTAATGACCATAACAAGTCCAGAAATCTGTCTTTTGCACATCCTCATCCCTTACCCTCATCTGATTATAACCTGATCGCAAATCAATCTTAGAGAAACAAGATGCACCCAGAAGCTGGTCAAAAAGATCATTAATCCTCAGGAGGGGATAATGGTTCTTCACCGTTAACTTATCCATGACATAGGCAACATAACCAGAACAACCCTGCTGTAAATATGTTTATCACTCTTCATTGAAAACAAAATTGTCCAACGCTGAGATCTCTCCCCTTGAACCACTAACTCTTCCCCTACTCGGAGTACGAACCCGAACCAACTGCTGCTTACAATTGACCACTGTCCCATTAGGGATCAACAAATCCATACCCACGATAACCTCATTCCCACGCAATGGAATGGGAACAAAATCTACCAAATACTACTCGTTGAACAACTGAATAGTACAAGCCTGATGAACTCTCGCAACCCAAATAGACCTATCATCCGTAATCTTAATATGAAGAGGACAATCCAGCTCCCCCGGAGCTCCAGCAAATCTCTTGCTAAGCACAAGTGATACAAAGGATCGGGTAGTCCCTGAATCAAACAATACCAATGCAGAAATACCATTCACAAGGAATAATCATAAAATAAAACATAAAAACAAAAGTAAGAAATCCAATATAAATAAAGAGATAAAAAGAAAAAACATACTCGTCACCACATCGGGAGCTGCATGTGCCTCCTTGAGTTGCAGGAGCGAGTGCTGACATTGGTCCAACTGCAACGAAAGTTGGATAATGAGCCTTCTTGTGGCCCCTATGATTGCAATCAAAGCAAATCAAATCAGATCCTTGGGTGGTGGTAGTAGTACAATCCATGCTATAATGATTCGTCCGACCACACTTGAAGCAACCAAATCTACCAACCCTGCAAGGTCCCTCGTGTGTCCTGCCACACTTCCCGTAGTGGCTCCGGCCTTGATGGCCTCTCGATCTAGACTCAAATACCTTGTGCCTCTTTCCCGAACCCTAAGCACTTGACACATAATCTAGATTTCTCTTCTTCTCCATCTCCCTAGATGGCACTATAATATCCTCAAACGTCTTGCAGCTGGATCAGCTCACAACTGTCAAATGTCACTCTTCAACATCTCATGATATCAGGCCTTCTTCATCTCCTCATCCACTACATACTGCAGAACCAGAAGTTCCATCTCCCTAAATCTCGCAGTGATCTTAGCCACTCTCTCCATAATCTGGCGGAGATCCTTAAACTCTTGCGCCAACTGTTATACCTCAATCACTGGTGCAAACTCAGCTTGGAACCTAGTCAAAAAATCATCCCATGACATCACATCAATAGCATCATCACCCACTACACGTCCTACCTCTTCCCACCATCATGTTCCATATCCTTCAAAAGGCAGGAAGCTAGTCTGACCATGTACCCTCGGGGCAACGGCTGGTGCGGAAGGCGTTAGCAACATCTGCTAACCACTGCCTGCTCACTATGGGATCCTTTACCCCCATGATAGTTCGGATCCTCACATGCTTGAAACTCCCTGAAAGTCAATGAATGTGCCCTAATCATGGCTTCCATCTTTGAGCGAAAGGCGCTCAACCGATCATCCATAATCTCTAGAATACCCTCCTTGACCATGCCAAAGATCACATGAGTTTGCTCAAAAACACTATACGTAATGTCATACGATATGAACTCTCTCGTCTGCTCATCTACTTGACCGACTACAGAACCCGACCCCAAGCTCTCTCCAGCACCAGAACTTTCAGCTAGTCTGCCTCACAATGTCAACATACTGAAAATAGATCATATAAACCATCAAAACACGCATATATATATATATATGTGTGTGTGTGTGTGTGTACGTGTGTGTGTGTGTTGTGGTATATCAGAGATGGTTGGATTGAGATTGCAGATGAGTTCTGTGTCGGTTCCTTCTCCTAATATCACAATACAAAAGAGAAAGATGATCATTAGTTGACGTCCGGGAGGAATTCTCAGGACGAAGCTCCAACGATCAAGTTAGAATGAGGTCTGAGAGAAATAAGAGTAATCATAGGAAAAATAGTTATGTCCCTTTCTTCATGAGGAAAAAGGATCATTTTATACCTGATTAAGAGGCATGTGCCCCATAACTAATTCTATTAAGCATTCCCTCATGGGGTGCGACGTGGTAGACACGTATTGGAGGATCCTCCATCACGTCTTTTTGCCTCATCCCCTCATTGGCTAGAGGGGATCTTTTGACATTATGAGGATCATGGATATCGTTAGATAAGCAAGTGTAACTCTCTGATTGGTCCCATGTTTGTCGGGTTGTTATTACGTGGAGAAGAGGTTAAGGCGTTGTTCTGCACGTTAACCGCCATACTAGTGATCTTCACGTTGCCGAAGGCCCGACCTTGCCCTCGGACTGGGTATGACTGGGTTCTAACTAGGCCAATCTGGATCTTAGTTTTACTTCTCCATTTTAACATTCTCCCTGAGGAATACGTTAACAATTCTCCTAGGCTTGTAGGTGTATGCGTCAGCTTGATAGCATCGTCGTTCGAGCCTATATTACAACACGTGTATGTCTGAGATTATCTCTAGCATTTGACAGGCTTTAGACAATGTTGTCGATGTGTGTTAGATCCATCGTGAGACGATTTGTGACATCATTTTTTTCATTAAAATCCCCCTTTTCACGAGATCTTTCATCCTCACCTCTTTTCTTTGCTTTCCTTGTATTGACTCAAGGATTTTGCAAATTTTTCTTTCCTATCATTCATCAGTTCTCGACAAGGGACCGTTATGGTAGAGTCCCTACCATGGAGGAAGTCCAACTTCTGCAAGATCATTTTGTTTTCTTACCAGAGCATGGTGTGATGATTCTGGAAAGGGGTTATCAATCTATGACTGTCCTCATGGGAAAGTGGGGTTTCCGATTCATCTATTCGAAGCGGGGTTGCACCTGCTGATATTTGATTTTTTCGACATGATTATGCATCAATATGGCTTTTCCATTGACGAGTTAACCCCAAGTGCCATCAATAAGATCATGGGTTTTGAACCTATTTGTCGATCTCTGGGTTGTATACCTACTTTTTGGGTTTTCGGTTACATTTTCTGTTCCACTATGAACTCTGGCGTTCACACTCTAGAAAAAAGACAGGGCATTCATCAGTTGATCTCCGAACAAGATACTCTCGATAAAAATTGGCAGAGACAATGGCTTTGGGTTAACCAAAACCTTGTGGGGCACGGGTTTCGCAAAACACGAGACATTCCTGACCGTCTTCCTAAGCTGTTCAGGAGTAACTTAACTCTTGGTAAACAGCTAGGAAACATTACTATTATTGGAGAAAACTAGGAAGATTTCATTCTTGTTGCAGCCGGTAGGAATGCTGCTTAGAGGGCTCGTGGGAAGATGGCGTAGTTATTCGTCGCGAGATGTGGTATTCACTCATCTTCTTCTACTCCCCTCCCCCCTTCTTTTTTCTTTTTCAAAAAAAAAAGGATGAGAATAGGGTATCTTATTGTCTTTTGAGTTCTTATACTTGGAGTTTGTTTTTACAGGTACTGAAGCCGAGATTTCCCTGAAGATGACCCTGCGTGGTCACTATTGAGCTAAGCTTTGCTACCGGGAGATCCATTTTGTAGAGGCTCTTCCCCCTCCTGTGTCTGAAAAATGCATGCGAGAATTCGTTGGATTGCTCTCAGTAGAAGGGGGAAATATTGGTTCCAACAGACCTACCTCGCCTTCCCAGCTGGGTGTTAGGGTCGTTTCCCCGGTCCGTTTACCGGCTCCGGCTTCTTTAGTTTTACCTGTGGATGTACAAGCAAAAAAAGGTACTGCCCCTATTCAGAAAAGACAGATTTTACGTGTGGTGCTATCGTCGGACAAGGAGACTGAATCGAATGATGCGGGGCATTGTCCTCGCAAGATGCATAAGACTGTGTCCATAGCCAAGCTTCTTGGTGGTATCGACAATGTTCTTGGCGATAGATTTTCTATGCCTGGCCAGAAAGAGAAAGAGGTGGTGCCTAGTTTTCAATCACATCGCCTTTGCCATTTACCGGTTTACTCTCAATTGATCTCAGTTCCGGCTCCGTGTTTAGGGGTGTACTCGGCTCACCTGGAGGTTCTTCCCAACCGGAGAAGCCTACCACGGTTGACGAGGCCTATGCTCAGGGGTAGGAGATACTAGGAATTCTTTAGTGTCGGAAGACTTCACCGCCCAGTTGTGGAGTAGATGTGTTCACCCTCCAACTACAATGAAGTTGCTTATGGGCTAATCGAGTGCTTGTATGGCCGATGACCTTCGTAATGTCGTGGCTCAGGCTTCTGCCCTTATGGTTGCTGCCGCCAACCAGGTTTACCATGCCGACATGAATGCACACAATTAAAAACTTTGCAAGGCGCCACAACAAGGATAAGGTAGGAACTCTGTGATTCAGAGGCTGAGGCGTCGAGTACTTTTGGAGCAGAATTGTATTTGGCCTGCGAGAAGGCCGCTTTGGAAGATCATGTAGCCACTTTGGAGGGCCCAACAGAGCGACTCGAAACTCAAGTGAGTTCTCTTACTCAAGAGAAGGGTGTACTAGTGACTGAGTTGACCAGGTGCCAACATCAACTGGTCCACGCTGGTGTTGATGGTGTTGTTGCCCGAGGCAGTTTGCAATGAATGTTGGAGAAGCGGGTAATTCGTGTAATTAATAAAGTTATTGAGAGCGCAAAGTTTTCCAGGGGGTCTAGGGCGTTCGTAAGGCATGTGAGGCCCTTGGATTTGAGAAGGGGAATCAACTAGCTAGTTGTTCCGTAATTTCCGGTGAATTTGAAACGGCATATCATGTCCGTGTCACGAGAAGAACTGAGGAGGTGCATATTGCTCCTTCTTCCTTTGCTGACACGGATTTTGCGGGCCTCTTTTGCCTGGGGGAGCTAGATTATGACAGCTTCCGCCAGTTTTGTCATAGTTCGGGCCCGGGAGGTTCTTCCTAAGACTTCGAGGACTAATTTGTGTTTGTCCCTTCTGTTCACTCTGTAATGTAATTGCATTCCCATGTATTGTACATATAGTGAAAATTATTGGTTGTTAATAACTAGGCACTGTGTATTTGACTTTGTATTTGGCATGGAAATGTTCTCTCCCCCTTTTTCTTTTTGTACATATAAATATATTTTGAACTGTTGACACTTCTACTGTAATTCTTTTCTATACTTCCCCTTGTTCTAGGGTTCGTATTAATCGATTAATGAATGCTTTAGACATCGTATAATCGCCACTATTGACTTTTATTTCACTGATTTGTATGTTGTAATCAGGATTTTTTATGTTAATTCAAGAAATGTTGGTCTATTTTCTTGACTATACTTTGAGGTTTAGCTACCTGTATGATGGCCGAGGTCGTCACCTCAAGGCCTTTTACTGTTCAATTGTTAGGGAAAAGGTTATGAATCTTTTACAATCCCTGTTTCTGTGCCATTGATTGGGATTTATACATTCTTAGCTCTAAGATGTTATTGGCACATTGTAGGCAAAGGTTATGACTCTTTTAAGACCTACGGTTGCATCCTTGCATCGATTTTGCTCAAGTAGCATAGATGATCACCTGTTGTTGCTACTTGGAAAATATGCACAACCTCTGGAAAGCTCTTTTAAAATGTAAATTATATTATCTCTAGAAAAACAGACATTAAACAATAGACCCTGAATGTCTAAGTATCAGGGCACATGCCCGGTCTTCGCTTCGACACTTGGAGTATGGTTATCATGTGCAGAGTTCGACCGTACTCCTTCTTCTCAGCCTTCACTTTATTTTTGATTGATTATTCTGCTATAACTACCTCATCGCAGCCGTGCCTCTTTTCCTCATTTGTTGCAAGTGTTTCTTGATAGGTTGGGGTTTCCTCTCATTTCCACCACCGGGCCCCGGCATGAGAGAGTTGAATTTCCCCTTTCATGCTCTAGAGGTGCTTGTACTTTCCCTTCTTCTCGACCCAGTGCATGCTGCAACCATGGGAAGCGCCTCCCCATGACCTAGTGAGAGTACCACCTGTGCTTTCCTACGCACCTATCAACCTTGCATTTCACATTGTCGCTTGGGGTGTCGTTTAGCTCATCATAGGCTCATGTTTGTTCTCTTCCGTAGGAAGGCTTGCGTGTTAGAATGAGTGGCACTCTTCCTCTAGTTTTGGTGCTCCTGACGTTTATCTCCTTCATTTCACGAGATTTTGGTTCAAGTTCGACATCGGCCAAAATGTGATTTGAGTTCCGGATAGCTTTTTGGGCATGGCTCGTCCATCGATTGTGGGCCAAACTGTTGCCCTTGCCTACGAGTAGGCGCTTCCTTGCTTTGCGATTTTCGCTCCATACTCTGGCTGATCCATCCTTAGGTCAGTGCTTGTTTCCTTCTATGGGGGAGATGTTGTGAGCCGACTGGATACATCTTTTTTCCTTCTCCTGGACTCATGGGTTAGCACGTGACCTGTTGAAGTTCTTCGCTGTGGATCTTCCACCTTCTGGAAAATTTCACTTCGACACAATTGGGTTTCTTGCTTTGTTTCTCATTGGATGTCGCATCCATTAACTGGCTTGGTTGCCACTATCTTTGATGATCCATCACTCGTACTGAATCAAGAATACCATGGAGAGTAGATGAAATTGCTTGTAGCTGGAAAAGTGCTTTCCGACCTAGAAAAATATTGTGTTCAGCCGGTCAGTCAACAACCAAGAATTTGAGCACCCTTGTTATCTATTTTGCCCTGTCATGATTGATCAATTTAAATGGGAGCTTGATTGTTCATGTTGGCCGGATGCCATGACCGGTGAAACCAATTAACAGACCCTGGCATGGTGGCTAGAAGTGCTTTTCCATTCAATTGGTAACCACCAAAAGCAGTGTTCATAGACCACGTTAACCTTGCTTCCATTATCGATGTACACTTGTTCAACACACTTTTGGCTAATGAAGCCGAAGATGTGCAATGGATCATTTGGATCCTAGTGTTT